ACTTGTAATATCTTATTGTTTGTAATTATGTTTTTAATTGTGAAATGACCATTATTCCTTCCTTGTAGAATTTCATGCTTAGTTTGTGTTTCGAGGATCATTGGTGTAGTCCCCAATGCGATCGAGTGTGTTTTTCATAATTTGACTCTCGTTGAGTTGATAGTTCATGATAGGTTGAGTTTGGTCAACATTTTGTGTTTTAAGCATTTGATGGGAATCCTGTTAGTTTCGTCATATCCGGAACGTCATGTTTGAGCAAGTAGAGTGGTTGGTAAGGTTTTCTTGGCCTTAGGTTGAGAATTGGGTGTTCAAGCGATTAAGTTGTGCTTAAGGCCTAAAGAGAGGTCTACGAGGGTATTTCTATCAAAACAATCTTTTTCCAGACATCCAACGGATCCATTGAATCAAATTGTCGAATTTAGTAGGATAGCATGTTTGGTTTATTTTTACCGGGTCTCAAACGTATCTGAGGGTCCATTTGTAGACCTTAATAAGTTTAGGGAGTGAATTTTGCTGACAGTGAACATAGTTAACTCGTTATCAGTTATTCAATTAATTGCTAAAATCAGCCCCTTTCTTCCATTTCACTTTCTTCTCCATTTTGGATGTTTAGGAGGGAGATTTCGGAAGAATTTTCTTGTCTACGTTTCATCATAAATCCTATTAACTGAGTATACTTGAGATGAGTAGTGTCATTGAGATTGGAGTCCTGAGTTCTAAGTATTGACTTTTCTAAATTGTTATTGGGATCCTTGACTTTGATTTGTCCATGTCTTTAATTAAGCACGAACCCTATTTTGAGTTTTAATTTCTGAGAGTCTTTTAAAGCAACGTTTTTATTTTAAAAAGTGTTTTGAGGAAGTAAAGATGTATTTTTGAGAAAGAGTTTCTAAAAAGGGAAAATTGTATAAAATAGCAAACTAATAACCTAAATTAAATTGAATAGCTAGGGTTTCATTTAATTGTGCTCCATAGCAAACATTGACAAAAATTTGCCAGGCGTCTCTCTCCCAGAAGTCTCGCTCGCCACTCTCCCATTCTCGCTTCTCTCGCTTTATACACAGAAGTGTATAATTTATGTTTCTGTTTTGTATAAAGCGAGAGAAAATTGTATATACACATGCAAAAATGTATGTCTTCGTGTTATACACTTAATTATATAATTTACAAACATTTTACTTCAAATATTGCAGAGAAAAAGGCTAAAGAATTATACAATTGTGAATTATACAATTGCAGTGAAATACAATTTTTTCTAGCTTTATACAACAGAAGTGTATATATTGTGTCTCTGTTTTTGTATAAAGCGAGAAAAACATATATCTTCTTGCTATACACTTATAATTATGCAATATACATACATTTTAATTCGATTCAACTGTATGCAAAGCTAATTATACAATTGCAGCGAAATAGGCCAGCGAATTATACAATTTAGGCCAGCGAATTATATACTTTTATATGTATAGAGAATTATACAGTTTTTATATTTGCTATGGAACGCAATTATGCAAAGTTTGCTATATTATACAAATATGATTTTTTTTATTTGCTATATGTGAAAGTTGCCCTTCTAAAAACATGATTAAAATGTCATTAATGTTTTAAACAATATGGTATCTAAATATACCATCAATGTTTATTCAATATGACTTCCCGAGTCATCAACTATTATATCAGGATATGATTTTGATATATTTTTTAGAAAGAGATTTCAAATATGAGTTGAGAAAGAGTATTAGGTAACTAAGTATTTCTAAAAGGTATCAGTTTTTACACTGAGAAAAAAAAACTCTGATTTAGAAAAATAACTTATGAGTTCAACTATATTTTAAAGAAGTTACCTCTTTAAAAAGGACAGTTTGAGCAATTATCTCATATTTGAGGAAGAGTATATTTTCAAACATTAAGCGTGAGTACATATTGTTGGAAGTAGTATAAAGCAATGATATGGAGATGAGTCCTGACAACTCACATTCCTCATAAACCATGTATGCCAACATGGATACAAGATTATAATTTTTAGATAAATCGTAAGTTCCTTGCAACAAATCTTAGTTGATCCACTTAGTTGAAGTGTTCTATACCCCGAAAAAATATATGTGGATCCACTTGTACAACAGAGCCTTATAGATAGAGAGTTTTGGAGAGTTTTCATTTTTAGAAGTTTTCTTTAAATTTAATGTTTAATACTCGGTATATTCAAACAGTTGAGATTTAATACATTGTTGATTTAGAATGTCTTTCAATTGATTTTTATGAATGTTTAAGTTATTCTTTTGCTTGTAGTTAGACAGGATGAGAATTCTCTTGGGGACCGACAATGGTTGTCGAGTGTTGTCCATATTTAGGGTGTAGGTTTGAGTCGTGACATGAAGAATCATGAATTGACCGATTTCTTGATCATGATTTTTAGACATTTTATCTAGTTATAGAAGCCCACAAACATGCAATTCAGTAGGTATAATAATTCTTCAATTAATATAAACCTTTTAAATTGGATTTGAGGCTTTGCCCTTTCAAAGACTTTACTACTTCCATTACAAATTAATATTTACATACTTTAAGTTTGTGTTAGTGTTCATGGATGGTCGGTCTATTACCAACACAAAGAGAATATAGTAGAAGAGAACCACACATGATGTTCGGACAAGTATTTGATCAGACTCTAATCTTAAATAATCTTAGCTAGCGTTTGACCATAGATTTCCAAATATTCTTGGCAAATATTATTTGAGTGAAAATTTGGGTTAAATTTCACCATGTGTTGGCCATAAAATTTGGGAAATATATTTCACCTTTTTAGAAAAATATGATTTATACACACAAGTTTTAAAAACTATCAAAACTAACTAAAAGTTTGTATTACAAGTCAATTGAATGTTAGTTACAACAATAACAAATAATGTCCATGACACTGAAGCAATGTGGTAATTTGGAGTGAGTGCAACAAGAATTATTCCATATATCGTGAAGTAGATAAAGTACATGACTTTGTTACCTAAAGCCAATTTTTAATAATTTTCATCAACAATCATATAATTATTTAATATTCACAAAATATTTCATCACTATTTTAGTGTCCACGTAAAAAATGATGTAATACAACGCAAGCAAATACTAGAAAGGGTGTTTTTGTAAAAGATAAAAGATTGAGGTAAAATTTTAATTTTTAAAATATCCCAAATAATGATATTTGGCCCAAATACTAGAAAAAACTAGTATTTGAAAATTTGAGATATTTACCAAAAATATTTGCCAAATAATGACAAATTGTATGGACAAACATTATTTGCCAAATTTTTCCCAAATATTATTTGGAAAATTTATGGCCAAACGGTCCATCCACTGGAAATGTTCTTTTACTCCTTATATGTGTTTGTGTGAGAGAAAGTTATAATTATTTTGATAATGTTGATTCTTAGGCCATCAACTACACTTAGATGATGACAACAAATTATAAATGATCTTCAACCTTCACTCTACACTGCCAGAATTGGTGTTAAATGAGATTTTATATTAAATTTGTTAATTTTTTGACTAAATATTCATTACCCATGCGTGAAATTGGCTGTAGTGATAGCATATAAAACTTTTTCACCCATCCAAAACTGATTGTTGCCGCATTCAAATAAAATCAGTGGGAGTAAAGGCTGAATCTGAATTATGGCTACACATCACTAATTTGGTGCTGATTTTGGATTATAAATTCGTGATTTGTTTTAATTTTATTTACTTTATGTTTTAATGATGTTTCATCTTTACTCTATTCATATTAAAATGTGACTTTACATTATTTATAATAGTTGTAGCGTCCTTCGCAACTATAATAATGTTTAGAAGGTTCTTATTTCCGAGAGTGTTCTACAACTTCACTTTCCAGTGATGGACCTTGAAGGCATGACAAGATGGATTCGTTCACGCATAATAGATTGTGGACAAAGTAAGAGATGCATCATGTAAGATTACATACTTTAATATATAATATCAGAATCTTAAGCACGATAATCTTACATAGAGATCGTTAGGGGCAGATACCTGATACTGATTGTCATCACATGTATAAGCGGAAGCGTTAGTCGTAAATTTGTTTCTACCTCCTTGCCCTAACTTAATGTTATCACAACCGTCAATAATGGAATTATTGTAGAGAATATGTGATAACCCTAATCGGTTGCGGGAGGACCAATTTATAGATGTTATGACTTAGTATGGTACAACCATCAGGTATTAGATTTTCTATTTGATGGACGTACCGGATTAAGTCATAACCTCTACAAATTGGTCATCCCTACCTCCATTAGGGTTATCAGATATTCTCTACAAAAATTTCAACACTGAAGGTTGTGGAAACTTAAAGTTAGGGCAAGAGGTAGAAACCTATTTACGATTAATGTTTATGCTTCTCTTTTTGATGATGTCTTTCACATTAGGTATATTCCCTTAAAAATCTATATCTAAGATTATCATGTTCAAGTTCCTGATATTATGAATTAAAGTATTTAATCTTACATGTGATATTAGAGTCTAGATTTTTTGAACCGATAATCTTAATAAATATGTTAGTTAGTGTTAATGTATGACACGTGACAGCCAAAGTATATAGCACTAAACCATTTTTGGCTTTCAACCAAGAAACTATTGAATTGCAATATTTACGTCGTTAACTTCCAAGACAACAACTAAAAAACCAAATAGAATGCACGAAAAAATAGAGAACATTTGAAATGAAATTCATGCAGATCAAAAGAGCACCTACAGAAGATGTAGGCATGTATTCTTTGATATAGAAGAAAACGTAAATGTGAAGTTCCTATGTTAGAAGTGGGCTGCCAAAATCCTGACGACGTTGTTATCTCAATTTTAATTTGTAGGAGTTGTAATTTGGATAGAACAACTTTCCAGTGTGATCTTTACAATCTTTTAAATGTGAAGTTTCTCATATGTTCACCTCAAGAGAAACATCTCTCAATCGGTGTGAAATTAGACAACTTTAAAGCTATATACAAACTTTCATATAAATATTTCAAAATTGGGTTTCTCCTCATGTCCATGATACCTCAAACTAAAAAACAACTTACACATACACGTCCATTGATAATCTAAATTCAAAGTAAATGAAGCACAGACATCTCGAAACTCAATTTACAAAAGTGTAATTTTTCCAGAACACCTGATCAACTTAAATTGATAATAAGCTTATCTATATGTAATATAATGAAATTGAATTTCTAGAAATTGTAGGAGTTGTGCAACGAAATGTTTTCAAATGTCTTTTGGAAAGACATTTATAAGACAAACATTCGTGCCACCCAACAGTTCAAGACCCCAAATCATGCACCAATCGTTCTAGTGAAACATTGGAATGCTCAAAAGATAAACAGGGAGAAAACTCATCTTGTGAAGAAAATAAGTGGCAATGGTATTGAGATACGCACCTTTGTTTCTGTAAACAACTCCTTTGTGTCGCAATGTTGTACATTAAGTATAGTTAATAATAATAGTATCAAATTATGTTCTCGACCATCTTATAGAAAAACTTCTATTCCCACTTCCGAGGAGACTTTCATAATCGTGATCACGAGGGTTTTAGTGTTCAACAACACGGAATTCATCAGTTTGAAAGATCAGCAAGACGAGGCAGATTGTGTTTCTTTCCAGCCAGGAGAGCTAATGCTCCTTGAGAAATTTCGAGCAATTTCTGATACACAAATATGACCTCTGTTTCCGAATGCATCAGAAGTATCAATACCATAGCAGAATCATGGCGCTTATTTAATGTACAAAAAATGGCTCGAACCATCAATACTTCAAAATGTAGCTCTTGCATTGCCGATACACTAGGAGCCAGAGTTGCAACCTACAAAACTTATTTCAAAAGAAGTCAAAATCAAGATTCAAGACAATGTAACATTGTGAACATCTGATACAAATACAGATTACTGATCATAGAGGAGTTGACTTGGATCTTACCTCACCCCCACGCAGCCCCGAGAGATCACGAGTAGGGACCGAGCTAGAGTATAAGTTACAGATTCAGCTGAACCTAATAACTTTGGTAGAAAAACACTATTATTGTCTAAAAAGTCCACGAATATGTATATATTCAGAATTCGTAATACCAACAACCATTATATAATGGAAATCAGTTATATCATTCTAGGAAAGTAGGATTTGATTATTGGGTTGGTAATGCTCAACATAATGATTATGATGTGCACTTACCAAGAAAATTCATACTCAAATAGAACAATCTGAAAAAAAATGTAAATGAATTGTAACAACGCTTCCCTAGTCGACATATAATTTCACTACAAACGTGATTACGGAACTAATAGCCGAGTGAAATAGTTTTCCTATGTCATAGTTCATAAAAATTTGTTAATGATTAATGAAGCTATGCCAATAATATCTGATGCAAATCAATCCTGATACAATCTCAGAGGCTGATGTTTAATCATAATCTAGCATAGTTTTAGCAACATCTATGATACAATTCAGTGCTGATTTTCGAGCATTATGTTGTCATACCGAAAAAAGGCACAATACAGAAAAGATGATAATTTTACTACCCAACTACTCTAGAGATTTGAAAAGTGAAAAGAATTATCAGCATTACTTATGAAAGGCATTGCAGTTAGAAACACGATGATATATACTACTTAATAAAAAAGACTGTTTTTCAAATTCTCCCATCAATTTATTTGCTTTTCAAATCTTGATATAGTCTTACACAAGGAATTGGCAAAAGCTACCTCATTGTGAAATAAACATATCAAATCTTCAAACACTCATGCTCTTCCTTGTGATTTTGCAAATTGAATGAAAAACTCCTGCAATAAAAAATCAATCAACAAACTAAAATAAGCTAAGAGACAAGAAAGGAGAAAAGAGAACCCATATCCCCATGTCTCGTTCAGCTTAGAAAGACAGTTGAACGAGAAGAAGGCTGACATATATGCGTCTGAGTGACTGAATCTATCTCCATCACAACAATGCATATCCGCTTCCTATACTCCCAAACTCCTCTAAACTATGTCGGAATTCTTCGAATTGTTTCTCTAGTTTCCCAAAAGAAGGCGTAGAAGAAGTTCGGAAACTTGCCATCCCTAATTTTTTAACAACTATAATAAAAAGATCTGTAGAATCGTACACTAACAACACAAAAGAGAGAAACGTACACTAACGTACAATGAGCTTATGAGTATATTGATAGAATTGATTTACTGAATCGAAGAAGAGAAAAATGTACAGTAACATTATGATAAGTAGAAAGAACAAAGAAGAACCGTGAGATTGATTCAAGTACTTTGTTGAAATAGGGTTTTATGGGTGATAATAACACATAGTATTAAATAATAGTATTAAATAATATTAGTATTTACCGTGTACTAATCCTAGTCCTATTAGGATAGTACTCCTTTCTATATCTCCTATATATATCTCCCATGTATTCCCTTATTAGGTTAACACTTCAATACAATTAATATTCCTTCATGGTATCAAGAGCCAGAAAACCTAGATCTTCTTTTCTCTAGATTTTTTTCTCTCTTTAGGGGCACCGATTGTTATTTCTCTTCTCTTGGGCGGCGGCATCCATGACAACCAAGGTGGATCCTCTCGATTCACTTCCTTCTGGCGTTAAACTCCTTCTCAAGCATCTTTATGCCCTGATTCCCAAAAAATTATCAGACATAAATTACCCTACATGGAAAATCACCGTTCTTACAGCCCTTGAGGCCAATTACCTTCTCAAATACGTCGATGGAAGCACACAACCGCCGCCGGCAATCATCACCGCCACGGACAAATCAGAAAAAACTAATCCGGCCCATGCCGCCTGGAAAGCCGTGGATGGCCAGATCCGATCATGTTTGATTGCGGTCATCTCTCCCACGGTTCAGAAACACGTCCGATTCTACACAACTGCTTCAGCCCTGTGGACGGCCCTCGCAATACGCTATGCATCAATTTCCCACTCTCATATTTTTCAATTGCGTGATCGTGTTCACACAATTACCAAATGGCGGAGTATTTAGACGAGGTCTCCACCATCATCACAGCCCTCAAAACCGTGAACGAAATCATTCCCGAAAAAGATCTCGTCATGTGCGTCGTTCGGGGGCTCCCATCAGCTTACTCTTCCATTAAACAGGCGGTTCGCATCAGTCCAACGCCCGTTGACCTGGTTACTCTCTCCTCGTGGCTAAAAAGTGAAAAAATCAACGTGGATATGGAGAGCAAACTTCTTCTCCGAGAAGCCGCTGTTATGGAGCCAGCCACCGCCCTCACCGCAAGCCATAACTATCGTGGGGGGCGTGGTGGCGGCCGGCAGGGGAGCCGCGGCGGCTACGGCAGAAACAGCAGAGGCCGCGGGCGCGGTGGTCGGCAGGGCAGCCGTCCGCCGTATGACGGTCAGCAGCACGGCAGCAACAACAGCCTGCACTCCTTCGGCAGCGGCGGGCAGTCATCTTCCAGCTGCGGGCAGGGCACTTACGAGCGGGATCGTCCAACTTGTCAAATCTGTCAGAAAACAGGACACACTGCTGCTCGTTGCTGTTTTCGGTATGAGGAGAGCCAAAATAGTGATAACCGTGCCAATTATGCATCTCAAGCCGGCCCTTCCTCTGAATGGCTGTTGGATACTGGGGCCAACATGCACGTTACTTCTGATCTATCCAAGCTTAACGTTCCAAATTCATATCATGGCTCCAATGGTATTACTGTTGGCAACGGTGAGTCCCTTAACATTTCTCACACTAGCACGGGTACCATTAAAACCCCCACCGCTATCTTTCACCTAGGTAACCTTACCTACGTCCCTTCTATTAAATCCAATCTCCTTTAAGTTCACCAATTCACAAAAGACAATAATTGCTCACTCTTGTTCACCTCTAATGATTTTCAAATCCTAGACAATACTACCAAGAGGGTGATTTTTCAGGGCCCCTGTGAGCATGGTCTGTACGTTCTTCCTGGCACAAGTTCGTCTGCCCACCCAGTTTCAGAAAGCGTTCCTGTGGATCTTTCGGCTGATGGCCACAGTCTTTTGTGGCACAGTCGTCTGGGTCACCCGTCCACTCAAATAATAAATTCTTTAATGTCTCAATTAGGTTTTTCTTCCATTCATGTAAACAATTGTGACTCCTGTTCAATTGCTAAATCTCATAAATTACCTTTTACTTTATCTGAGAAGCGTACAACTGCACCTTTTCAACTTATTCATTCTGACCTATGGGGTCCTACTGCTGTTCCTTCATTTGCTTGTTTTCGCTATTATATTTGTTTTGTGGATGATTTTACAAAATACACTTAGTTGTACCCACTAAAACACAAATCACAGGCATACACCACCTTTGTCACTTTTGAAAAAATGGTCAAAACACAATTCAATTCTCATGTTAAACTTTTTCGAAGTGACAATGGAAAGGAATATATCAATAACATCTTTGGCCAGTTTCTGCAATCCCTGGGAATTATACATCAAACCTCCTGTCCATACACTCCCGAACAGAATGGGGTGGCTGAGCGTAAGCATCACCATCTCATTGAAACGGTGGTTACTCTTCTACATCAATCTCATCTCCCTGTCTCCTTTTGGGTAGAAGATCTAGCCACCGCAAACTACCTCATTAACAGAATGTCCGGTCACACTCTCTCCAACAAATCACCCTATCAACTCCTTTACCAAGAACATCCCAATTATACCAACCTCTGCGTCTTCGGGTGTCTTGCCTACCCTTGGCTACACCCTCATATTACTCACAAATTACAATCTCGATACCGTCCTTGTATTTTTTGGGCTATCATCCTAACTCCAAGGGTTATCGCTGTCTTGACCCACAAACTCATAAAGTCTACATATCTCGTCATGTCAAATTTGTCGAAAATGAGTTTCCCAACGAGTCTATTTCCTCCTCCACAAATACATCATTCATTGGCGTCCTTCCCCTTTTTCCGACATACTCACAGGGTCCCTCACCACCTTCCCCCACACCTCCACCCACTACCCAACCACCCCTCATCACCTCTTCGACCGTCACCCACAATACACCCGCAACCACCACCCACACCCACAACCAACCCGAACCACCCCATACGCACAACATCTCTAGCCCGATCTGTTTTGGGTCCTTCCCGGCCACCCCCGAATCACCACCGCCCGTGCCATCTCCCAATACTAATCCCATGTTAACCCGTGGCAAAGCCGGTATCTTTAAACCCAACACCTTTCTGGATACCATACTACCAAATACACCCCTTCCCGATAGTGAACCAACAACCTACTCTGTTGCCTCAAAAAATGCTTATTGGCGTCATGCTATGGATGACGAGTTTAAGGCTTTGACTGATCAGAAAACTTGGGTTCTTGTACCTAAGCCCCATGGGCGGCACCCAGTGGGCTGTAAATGGGTGTACAAAATTAAACACAATGCGGATGACAGTATTTCCAGGTACAAGGCTCGTTTGGTTGCTAAAGGCTACAATCAGGAGTATGGACTTGATTACTCCGAGACATTCAGTCCTGTTATTCGGCAGGAAACCATTCGTCTGGTACTGTCACTCGCTGTGTGCAACAATTGGCTCATCAATCAGTTGGATATTTCCAATGCTTTTCTTCATGGTATGCTTGATGAAACTATCTATATGACGCAACCACCGGGCTATGTTGATCCCCGCTTCCCTCAACATGTTTGCAAACTCCAGAAGTCTCTGTATGGGCTCAAGCAAGGCCCCCGTGCTTGGTACACATGTTTGAAAAAGTTCCTCCAAGGACTTGGCTTCACGTGTTGCGTACACGACACGAGTCTGTTTACTCGACATTCAGCACACGGTACAGTCATTCTTCTTGCCTATGTAGATGATATCATTATTACAGGCTCTACTGCAGCTATCATTCAGGATGTCACTCGAGCTATGCATACTACCTTCAAAATGAAGGACCTTGGCCCGTTACATTATTTTCTGGGAATGGAGGTTTCTCGGACAGGCAACGACTTGTTTCTTCATCAGTCAAAATATGCTCGAGATCTGTTGCAGAAAGCTGGACTAGAAAAATGCACTAGTCAACCAACACCGATGGCAGTCTCTTCGTCTACGAATGGAGTCGACACCCCCTTTGCCGATATCACCCACTTCTGCAGTCTCATTGGGGCTCTACAATATCTGGCCATTACCCGTCCTGACATCCAATTTGCTGTCAATCGAGTTGCTCAGCACATGCATCAACCAAGTGAACATGATTACCATTGTCTAAAACGCATTCTCAAGTACATTTTTAGCACTCTTGGTCGTGGTTTACTCATTTGACCCGGGGACTTGGAGCTTCGGGGTTTCTCAGATTCATATTGGGCGAATGATAAAAATGACAGAAAATCTACATCGAGGTTTCTCGTTTTTTTGGGGCCGAACCTGATCTCCTGGTGTACAAAAAACAACCCAAGGTCTCTCGGTCCTCGACTGAAGCTGAATATCGCGCCTTTGCTCTTCTTGTTGCTGAGACCATGTGGGTCACATATATTCTTCGCGAACTCCGCGCCACTCACACTGTTCCTTCTCTCTATTGTGACAACAAATCAACCATCTGTGTGGCCAAGAGTTCCGTCCTACACACCAGAATGAAGCAAGTTGATACCAATTGTCTCTTTGTTCGCGATGAAGTTCAGGCCGGCACCATGACTGTGCAGTATGTACCCACTGAAGAACAACCGACTGATATTCTCACCAAGCCTCTCCCGAGCCGACAGCATGATTACCTAAGTTCCAAGCTTCCGTTCGCTTCCGCTCAGCTCATCTTGAGGGGGGATAATAACAGATAGTATTAAATAATAGTATTAAATAATATTAGTATTTACTGTGTACTAATCCTAGTCCTATTAGGATTAGTACTCCTTAATCCTAGTCCTATTAGGATTAGTACTCCTTCCTATATCTCCTATATATATCTCCCCTGTATTCCCTTATTAGGTTAACACTTCAATACAATCAATATTCCTTTAGGTGGAAATGTGAAAGAGAGGGAAATAGGGTTTTGTGTTGAATCAATTGAGAAGATCCTATGTTGAAGTAGGGAAAAAGTGTCGTGTGTTATAAAATACTATAGTGTGGATGTCTAATACACCAAAAAGTTACTCACCCAATATTTCCACTACTTTCTATTATGAAGATGACTATAACCTCTACCTTTATAACCATTATTCTTGTAGTCTTCCACTTTCATAACATTTTCATTATATTCATATTAATGTCCTGTTTATGACTAAATTTTTGTATACTTTTATGTTACACTATAAATAGAAGTATAA